ACTTGGATGACAAAAGTATAAACTACAACATCAGTTATATTCGCTTAAAAAAGTAATCTTGAAAGTTCTTCTTCTGTATCTTTCTGCCTGTGTGTGTGTGCCCCGCTCTATCTTGCTGCCGTTGTCAGGGGAAACGGCCCCCTCCTTCGCTGCTCTGGCTCTGAATCTAAACAAACCTGTCTTTAGGATTTTGGCTTTTCATAGTTGTTTTTCCATTAAATTTGCGAAATTTGCGATGGAACATTGTGTTATGACACAATTAAACGTTTTAAACACCATTTAGTAAAAAGAAGTTTTGAATAGTATGTTTTTTGAAATCCAAAGATTAGTACAAAAAAGCTTTGCTTTTCTTTTTAAATCTGCTGCTTATTTTTAGAGTCCATTATTGTATCTCTGATATATTTCATAGCTGTTTGTGAGAATTTTTTTCATGTATTTTTTTGTTTTGTTACAAAAGCCGTTTTTCAAATATTTAAATTAGAATCTGTGTTAAAAGTGATTATTGATCATAGACTTCGTCTAAAAAGAAAGAGGAAATTAGGATTAGCTGTAAAAGTATTATATTGAGTTAAACTCACTGTACAGGGGTCACTGGACTGAGGGAGTGGACACTGAGAACTCAGACCACAGGAGCCCAGCCACGCCCACCCAGGCACAGGTCACAGATCAAAGAGCAAAGGAAAATGCCACCTCCTTGCCCCTCCCCACGCCACTCCAGAACTGAGTGGGTGTGAGAGAGACCGGGGCAGAGAGAGGTGTCTGGAGACGTGATGGGTGGAGCATCAGGGAGAGACCTGGAGGAGAGTTGAGAGTGTGTCCAGTTGGTTTACATCGAGCCAGTGTGACCTTCTAATGCAGGTGGTTCGAGGAGTCTGGAGATACAACCCCAAAATTCACACCCTACACACACACACACACATTCATACACTCACACATTCACATTTACATATAGATACATGAAAAAGCAGAACATGAGAAAAAGCATTTTAAAAGTTTACTGTAATGTAAACAAATATTTTTTATTGTCTATCACTTGAATCAGTATTTGATTTTTTGAGACCAGAAATGTTCATTTGAATTCTAAATTGTCATGGACTTAATTGGCCTGTCTTGACATTTTTTGTTTTGATTTGCTGATTTTGTACTGTGTGAAGTAATTACATTGATTATATATGATAAAAACACAAATTAGAGAGGTAAACTGAATCATTGCGCTTGCTTTTGCCTCAGGGACATTAGCAACAGCATTAATAGAAATTGTGTTACTGTAGAATCAAAATGACTTAACCATAGAGAGTAACTACTGCATAACAAGTCTGTACAGGAACTGTGACACTGCACCATTGACCAGAAGTGCATCGCAAATGACCTGATGTGCGCTTCAAGTGAAAAGACTGTATCTGGAGATCCTGATGTGCATCTGGAGAGACCAGAACCATGGCTTGGACCCTACTGATGTCCAAGATGACATCTCTCGAAATATGACCTGACCTGATGGACCAGACTGAGACTCACCCTCAGAGGACCTGAGGATCTGAGGACCTGAGGACCTGAGAGAGAGAAAACTGGGGAGTGATGTTTATATTTTAAAATCATGCCATTGATGAGTGCTAAATGAGACAGATACTCATGATTCTTTCTTTTGTTTTTGTTTGTCCCTAGCTTCTGGACATCTGATGATCTATTGGACACAGACATTTGCAGAACAAGAACCAGCCAATGAAAAAACGTCTATTGCCGATGCTTGCTACAACCAGAACCTGTGACCAAATGCCAATATACATGTTAAGTATTCAGACATCTGACAGACACGAACTTTGACTTTTTAGTCTGGGAGACTGAGCAACTGTTAAAATGTGTTAAAATGATAAAGTATGAGTATTGTAGCGTTTTATTAGATGTTAAATAGTAGTAAAAAAGTAGAATTTGATTTCCTTTGTTTTTCATAAACACATTTCCACATAAGAGTTAAAATCATAACTATACAATGTTATCTTTTTGATAGAGCAGCTAAAATATTAGAATCAGAATAATGTTAAAGCCATTAAAAGTGACAGAAGTCACAAACTAGAAATACGCCTTGGCTCAAGCTGCAACCGAGCTTTGGAGTCACAATAGAAATAGATAAATGCATCAACCATAGATGCTTTAAAAAATAGAGAATATTTTTAGCCAGTGCTAATATTTCAATTGTAAAAGGAGCATTTCCTTCAACATAGGTTCACAAGCATTTACTTCAAAAGTAGATAACGTTCATTACAGTTTATGTACAGTTTATTAGATACTTGCCAAATTCACTTGTTTCAAACATTGGTGAATGTTGACAATGCAAAAAGTTCATGAGTGTAGCCTAGATTAAAGCCTAGATTAATGATAGATTACAACCAATAGAGATTTCTAAAGCATTTAAAAGCATTTTGATGCATTTGGGTATAGCCCAAAAACATCCATCCATTCATTTTCTACCCTTTAATCCATTTCTGGGTCAGGGGGGTGGCAGTCAGTTATGCCACCCAAGTCTCATAGCACCAGCCCCTCACTGACCCTCTGCAGGTGGTGAGTCCACAGGAGGACGGCTGCTCACTGCGTGTGAGCATAGCCTTGATCTTTCAGTGGGGGCTTTGGGCAAAGTGGGGTTAAAAAACAAAAAGTAGATATTTAGATATTGAGAAGTTTCCAGCACAGATAAGAGAATCAAACACCATTGTAGAATAACTGACCCCAAACCTGCTAAAACAGATTAGCTCTTGTAAGGATAATACTAATTTGATTAAAGGTGTACATTCATCCCAAACTGCCTGAGAGGAGGAAGTGACAGCACTTCCTGGTTCAACAAATGTATTTGGAAAACTGACCGCCACAATAATGTTCATATTAACCATTTGTCTTACTGTGTTCACAGTTTTATTCCTGAGAATGTAGAATAGACATAGAGCAAAATCCCACTAACAATAATCCACTGATAATGAAAGTAAACCACAGAGAGATTTATTAGATTAAAATATATGTTTAAGAATATGGCTCAATGAAAATATGCAAACATATTTGTAAATAGATTAGGCAAGGCAAGTTTATTTGTATAGCACAATTCATACACAAGGCAACTCAAAGTGCTGAACAAGATAGCATTAAAATCATAAATAATCACAGAACATTAAAACGAAAGATAAAAATATAAATCCCTCAGTTGTATGCACAGCTAAACAGAACTGTTTTTAACTTGGTTTTAAACATTGTCAGAGAGGAGGCCTGTCTCACATCTTCAGGAAGATTGTGAAAAGATTGTATCTGGTCCTCAGATTAGAATAATTTTAAACTATAGTGAATCATAAAAGTAAAGTACACAGTCTAAGATTAAAAAGTGAAAATAATAAAGTGAATTAAGTGTAGCGTAAACAATTAGCATTAGAATAAAAGTATAGCGTAAGAAAAGTGAAATTAGCTTCTAATTTGAGACTCAGCTCGTTTTTGTCTGTGTTTTGACTGAATCTGCTGAGTTCTACTGTGTTCAATAGTTTTTGTTTGTTTTTATTTTTGATTTATTTTTGTTTGTTTTGTTTTTTGTTTATTTATTTAATTTGTTGTTTGTTTATTCCCAGGATAGAGGATAAAATCCACTGATATTGATTTTGATGATTATGAGTTTAATGCATATATTTTCTTTGTTTTTAAATAATTTTCTTTTAGATTTTTTTTTTCCACTTTGATCAAATTGAGTGATGACATGTGATTATGTGATCAAAGGGGTGAGTGTTAGTATTAGATAGCAATATGGCCTACGTGCAGGACTGTACAAGGACTATTTTGACTATGATGTGACTGTCTCTGTGTGACACGTCTTTCGATGTGTGACGTGACAATGACTATATAAACTGTGTACTGCCTTTATTCGGTCGGAGAGAAAGAAACAAAGGAAACCACTGGAACTTGAGAGAAACTTAAATAAACTTCCAGAGTTTGGCGCACCACGATCCGTCTCTGTCTGCTTCATCCCTGACAAAGTCACTTGCACTAGGACTGAAAACTTGCACTACTATTGACACTGTTTAATACTTAATTTTTGCCTTTAACATGTTTGCACACTTCTGTCTTTTGCACAAATTTTGAGGGTTTCTATCTATGCCAAATGTGACAGGTACATTTCTCCTGTGTGAGATCAATAAAGTCTATCGTAACTTATTCTGACCTGAGGGTAGCACTAAGAAAATCAAGAAAGCAAGAACATGATACATTATTTGTTTATTTATATATTTTTTTCAAAATCATTGGAAGTTTACTGGCTTCAAAGTAATTTCTGATTCACTTTTTAATACAAAACAAACAGTATACTTTACACATTTAGCTTTAATCGTATCTGGTCCCAAAATTAACCATAACATTGTTTTCTTAAATTCAAAACCTGTACATGATTGCCAAAGTGGCGGACAAACTGCACCTGAGAAATCCATTCTAATTCTCTAATCAGAGAGGCTCTGAAATAGCTAAGCATACAGTAGATTGAGATTTAGTCTAACCAGTTATTTTCCAGGTTCACAGTACTAGTCACCAAATCAGAGCTGGGTGATCTCCCGGAAATAACTTGTGTTTGAGCTCGAGCTGCCTTTGAATTCTTCTTTGGCCTGAAGAGAGGAACGTGTGGACCCTCGTCCATCCGACCAGGACCATGGACTTTTGGGGTCCCTTTATGTGCAATTCCATTTCTCGGAGTGAGGAGGACGTAATGTAGCCGGAAGCGGCCGAGCAGAGCAGACCGGTTTGAAACGATCGGCGTGTTTGAGTTGGTTTCTGGGGTCCAGATGGCGCTTCCAGTGACGACACTCGTTCGACCAATCTGTGTAAGGGCAGTGGGGCGATCGTCACGTCATGGCTCGGTACTACGGCGGATGGATCCATGGCTGAGGCAGTACAGGAAAGTACCAAATCTCCCAACCATCCATAGTGGAAAAGCAAAATAAACGCGCGCTGAAGCGTACTGTACTGTACCGTACTGTCTGTGGAAAATGCGCCGATTGTCATTCTCAGAGTTACGATGTAAGCTAGCTATGTTCACCCGGGCTTGATTTCTTCTTTGATCCTTTTTTCGCTTTCAGTTCCCTCTTCCTCTTCTCACTGTTGTGTCGTTTTGGGCGTTCTAGCTGTGTATTCAGTTACAACCAGAGGAGTTATAGCAACTTATGCTAAAACATGCTAACTGTGTTTAGCAGCGCTTGTACTGTAGAGGCTAGAGGACGCCGCCTCGTTCTGTGATTGGAGGAGAGCGGGTTTGTCACGCTCAAGTCATACTCAAGCACTTGTACGCTGAATTCATCCAAAAGCTCAGAGATCAATGAGCTCAAGTTTTAATTAAATTACGGATTATATTTACTATCTTATATGTAGTTAATAGCATTTTATGAAACTTATTAAAAAATAATCAGGTATAAATCTTTAAGTGAGTTTTTTTCTTCTTATTGAAGTGAAATAAAGCAATTACAGTTAGGTCCAGACGCAGCTTCAAGCAGCAGCCAGAGGGCTTTTTCACTAGTCTCTTCCGAACACTGGTTTGGTTTTGAGATGCACAGTACGAACCAGGCCTTTGAATCAGTGTTGTCTGCCAGGACTCTTCCAATCAGCAGAGTATCTTCTAGGGGCTGTGGCATCAGCAACGAAAGCTTTCTTTCATACATGGGAAATTATCAGAAATCCGTCTTTTCAAGAATATGTCCATCATGTTTGTAATTGTCTCCGTCTTTCCTTCAGTTACATGTCTTGTTTTTAGAATAGCCCAGGTGGGCAGGACGTGTTTTCCTTTTGCGTTAAGATAGACTTGGGTGTGTGGAGAGCTCAAGATTTCATCAATGTACATTAAAAAGAAAGATAAAAACATAACATCCCTCAGTTGTATGCACAGGTTTAACCTGGTTTTAAACATTGTCAGAGAAGAGGCCTGTCTCTTCAGGAAGATTGTTCCAGATTGTAGCAGCATGAATCTGAAATGCAGATCATTCTTGCATCTCATCTTCAGATAGTTAGTTTTATAAATGAGACCCATGCTCTCTCCCTCATTGGCTCCGCCCCCTCGGCAGCAGCAAGAAGGATTAACTAATGGCCATTACAGTGACACCTGGACCTGCCCCTTACTTTGCATACTCAACAAAGAAATACATTTATATAGATATATGTATAAATATAAATATTTTCTATATTTATATTTATTTAACAGTACATCTAAAAATAAATGTGTACATATATGTATAAATAAATGCATCTATATATTGATATATAAACATATATGCATGCATTTGTTTGCAAATTAAATCTATTTTTCTAAATAAACATTACATACAGATATAATGTCAAAAAAGACATTGCATACACTTGGGGGGGAAATAAATAAAAAATAAGATCTGAAAAAGGAATAGGCTAAAGCTTATGGACTCCTCCCCTTTATATACACTAAACTAAGCATGTACTGTATGGAGCTTCCTCCAGTTATTTTATTTTTAGTTTTGGAACGTTCATCTTGTCTTCTTCGTAGGATTATAAGTATTAGATTCTTCCACCAGACAATTGTAGGTTGGCGTCGTATTACCTTGTCCATGTCTCGAGTATCCGTCAAAGTAATGACATTTCTATCCTACTACAGTCTATAGAAGACCCAAATACTTTTAGAGATTTTATTTTCTGCCTCTCACTGGTTGGAAGCCCTGGTGTAGGCCACTGAGGGCTCTGTTTGAGGCTCAATAACGCCCTCTGCTGTTTATTTCCCTGACCTGCAGTATGTTTCTGTGTATTCACCATAAATAGAGCACATCTAATTCCAGCTCCTTGTTCTTCAGGTCCAGCGCTGTACGCCTATAACAATGCAGAGTTTACAGACGAGGACTGGAAGGGGATCCAGAACGTGGCCCGCAGCGTCAAGAGGGACGACCCCAATAAAGTGGGCCGCTTTGGGCTGGGCTTCAACTCTGTCTACCACATCACAGGTACCTCTCCTCTGTCTACCACATCACAGGTAAACTGCAAAAAAGGATGAAAAATAAGTCATAAATTATTCAAATTTGGCAAATTGGCTCTTTATTGAGCACATTTTTACTGCCCTAAAACAAGATTCACCAATGAGAAAAAGCGAAATGATCTTGCTTAAAAATATCATATACAATAAAAAGTGGCAATAGCGGTGCTGTTTCTTCAGTCCTACTGCAGGTCATTAGTGACATAAAGGGACTTATTGTACAGTCTGACAGCAGTGGAGATAAAGCCCTCCACTCAGTGGAAGAAGCGCTACCGCATGAAGGAGGTGACTTTGACTAGCACCCTCCTGTCCTTCACCACCTCCAGAGTCCAGGGGTTAGCCCAGAGTGGAGCTGACCCTCCTGACCAACTTGTTGAATCTACTATTGTCCCGCTCTGTGCTGCCCGGGGCCCAGCACACGGCAGCGTAGTGTATGGCAGACGCTACCAGAGAGTCATAAAAGGACCTCAGCCTCCTCAGAAGGTGGAGGCGACTTTGGCCCTTCTTTTTGGTGTTATGGGACCAGTTTATTGTTAATGTGAACACCCAGGTACTTGAAGCTGTCCAACAGCTCAATGTCCTCCCCCTGGATGTTCAGCAGTGTATGGGAAAGTGGTTTTCTCCTGAAATCGATGACCATCTCCTTGGTCTTACTGGTGTTCAAGCACAAGTGGTTGCGCTCACACTAGTCGACAAAGTCCGTGATAACCGACCGGTATTCCAGTTGGTTCCCCTCTGACACACAGCCTGCGAGGGCGGAGTCGTCAGAGAACTTCTGCAGGTGACAGCTGTGAGTGTCATATGTGAAGTCTGAAGTGTAGATGGTGAAGTGAAACGGTGAGAGGTCAGTGCCCTGAGGGGCCCCAGTGCTGCAGACACTGTGGTCGGTCAGAGAGGTTACTGTCCACTGTCCTCCATCTTCCCCCACAGCAGTGCTGGTCTTAAAGACTGATCATACAAGAAATGTCTCACTTGGAATAAGGAAATAAAGACTAAATAAGACTAAATGTCTTTGTCCCATTGGTGAATCTTGTTTTATCACAGACAGAATTTTCCAATATACGATTTAAAACACTCGATTCAAGCATTTATTATCTCATATTTCATCATTCTTTGCAGTGTACCACTCCTTTGTCTGCCACATCACAGGTACCACAGAGACAGATAAACTGAAGTTGCATATTTAAAAAATGTATTTAGCTAATAATGACAAATTTAAACATTTAGAAGCGTATATTTAGAAAATAAAAAGTTTCCTAAATAACAGTGGTTGCGCTTGAGCGCAAACATGTTTTTATCTTTCAGGAGACACGGGACGTCAGACGAAAAATAGCCGCTTGGCTAATTCTGGCATATTTACAGAAATGATCATTAATATACTAACAGCTTATTAAACGAGCGCGAGGTCTGTACGTGGAAATATCAGACCGCGGCCTTTTTGTACAGACCGAGCCGTGGCGAGGTCTTTGAAAAAAGACCAAGGTACAGACTGAGCAAGCGAGGTTAATAAATGTTTTATTATATGACTATTTTACATTTTTGCAAACACATAGACTGTATATATTAACGGACAGAGTCACGCCTATCTCCGCCGTTCTAACTAATGGGCCAAAAAATGCGCTCTACTGGAGCTATCCAAAATGGCCGCGAGTGGTCCCGGCCACAAGAAAATTGTGAAAAAACGCATCTGCGCATGCGTCAGCCGGCGCAACTTCATTCATTTGAACGAGAGACTTCAAAAATTCACAGCAAGTAAACTAGAGTGGTCCAAAAAATCCACCCCCTCAGCATTGACACACATGTGGAACGGAGCTTTGGGCCAAGAACCAACTTTTGGTTGCCTGGCTCTGCCAGACCCTTGTAGTTCCGCCATGCTCCACCAGAGGCGTTTGGCTGAACCATATGGGTCTAGTATCGACGCCATAGCGAACGCCTTCCCCAGATTATTTTTTTATCGACCAATCAGGATTGCCGGTGTTACGTGGGGTTTGCACTGCCTTCTCAAGCTTCTCTCATGCAGCAGCGAGAGGAATCCAAGATGGCGGACGTAAAGTCCGCGAATCTTTTTAAAAGAGTATAAATACGATCGAATTAAGACACGGAGGTCACTTTTAATGCAATTTGAGGCAAGATGTAGATGGTTCTATGTTGATAAATGTGTGTTTTAAGAGTCAAATGTTCCTGTAAAGTTTGGTTGAAGCACTGGTTCAGTGTTCCTGTTTACACACTATGCAGCAGGGTTGCCAGGTTTGGTGGTTCCCGCATATTTTTTACAAGAGACTTGTAGGTATTAAATAAACAGATAACGGACAAGTGGTCTATCCAATCACATACAAAGATTTTTTTTACAAGGCCCTGCCTTCTGAAATCCAACCACTATGGCTCAGTACCAGACTCATGTGTGAAGTGCAGCGAACTACATGGGTCTGGCGAGAGTCAGGCTAAACTTTTGGTCCATCCTGTAAAGAAGTTTTCCAGAGGTTAGCATTGGCTAATTCTAATTCTGGGTCCACCCCCATCGGCCCGGGGTGGTATTGCAAGCATGTCAACGCACGTCATTTTGGCCACTTTTGAGCCGAAATCCGCCCCCACTGTGCAAACATCGATCAGTTTCAACTAGCAAAAACACATGCAGCCAAACTGTCAACGAAGTTGTCAATCTCTTCTTGACTGTTAGTTGTGTTTTCGTCGTTATTACTTCCTCTGGCTCTTCGAACTCGTCCGGATAATAGTATTCACTGGGAGAATGCTCCCAGTTGTCGCCCATTATTTCTTTTTTTACCGAGGAAAGATATCAAATGTGATACGCGCTGCGGACCAATTGTCATGGTAACGGTCCGAGATGGGAAAGTATCAAACCGCAAATCAGCCAATCAGAGCGCACGTACGGTTCAAGTCATATCATAAATATATATATATATATATATATATTTATTAAAAGACACTGAAGCAGGGATTTTTTTGTGCAAATAGGACTTCAAACTGTGTTTGGACTGTCAGACCCTCCAAACCTCTGTTGTGAAAAACAAAGTCATGGTGTTTCAGGGATTTCTTCCAAATGGATAGTGGGAAATATTCCAGCTCCTATTTGCCAATTCTCTGTTACACTAAACTTGGAACACCACGTTGGTCTGGAAGTGTTCTGCACCACTCTAGTTTGTGGAGCTGGTTGGACCAGAGTTTATTGATACAATTTAGGGAAACATGCATGTTATGTATATTTGCTCAGGTGCCATAGATATGTAAACATTCTATGTTTATCTGTTTTTTCACAGATTTGACAAGTATCTTGAGTGCGGGGCATCTTGGTATGATGGACCCTCAGGAACAAGTCTTCGGTGCAAAAACAGGAGAATTGTGGTCTTTGGATGATGAAGATCACCAACAAGAATTTACCACAATGCATGACCAGTTCCAGCCTTTCCAAGACATTGTCGCACTTGTGAGCGAACAAGAATGGGCCCAAATTATCCAAGAGCAACATTTCAATGGCACCCTTTTTAGATTCCCCTTACGCACAGAGGCCTCAGATATATCAGACAATCTTTATAGTCATGAGAGAGTTGACGAGCTTTTTGGTAGCTTCTTTCTCTGATGCAGAACTGAGCCTACTCTTCCTCAAAAATGTCTCGTCTGTTTCTCTTATGCACATTGATGCTGAAGGCTCCGTCAAAACTCTACTAGAAGTTAAATCCGCTTCTTCACCATCCTACAATTTGGAGTCCTATGAGGGTGTCACTAAGGGCTACACAGAAATCAAATCCATCACTCTGAGGTCAGACGAGCTCAAAGAAACAAAATGGCTTGTCACATCTTGCACGCTGACTGAAGGCAACGTGGACAGACTTGATGATCTCGCGGAAAAGCTCAAGTTTGTTCCTCGAGTAGACTTGGCGTTCCCTTGTACTGACCATATTGACTGCAGTAGAAGTAGACTGTGCTGCTTTCTTCCTCTACCCAACAATGATTCAAACAAGACGGGGCTCCCGGTTTACGTCAATGCATACTTTGGCCTCACAGACAACCGGCGACACATCAAGTGGCAAGAAGAGGACCAGATGAACGACGAACATGCCATCTGGAACGAACTGCTCATCAAGGAGGTGCTTCCAGAGACCTACCTCACTATCCTCCGAGACGCCATCAAACTCGTGCAAAACAATGTCCTACCAGCAAGTTCAATCTACAATCTCTGGCCTGATCTATCCCAAGTGCAGCACAAAGAAAAATGGCATGAGGTGGCCCTGGATGTCCTTAGGCAGTTGTTTGATCAGAATATAGCAGTGTTGTCTCTGGCCAAAGACGAAAGACAGTTCATTAAGCTGTCTGAAGCGGTTTTTCCATGTAACGGCCCTACGCAACTCGACACACTGGATGCCATTAAGCGAGTCCTGGTGTCCCGTGATGAGAACCTGGTGACTTTATCAGACAGCGTCACAAGAGCTTTGAAGACGGCTTACCCAGACTTTAGCTCTCTAAGCCACGTGACTCCAGCCTTCCTGAGAGGCGTTCTTCAGGAAGGTGTTCAAGACATCTCTGACGAAGACAGAAGGACTCTGCTGGAGTACGTCTTGAGTGACGAACAGTACGAAGAACTCGACGGTCTACAACTGCTCCCTCTCAGTGACGGCTCCTTCAAATCCTTCACAGACAGCCAAGACGACACAGCATTAATCGACAGCGACACATTCCCAAGGTATTCACACTAAAACTATAAGTATAAGCGGCTCTCTAGTTTTTAATCACATTTTTCATTGGTTCAATCTAAAAATGTAAAACTGTCTTTAGATATCTTTTCAGATATTGATTTGAAAAAAAAAGCTGTCAAAATTCTTGAGTGAGCAATTAAAGTAATTATTCTCAGATTAAACTCTGGCTGGCGCCTCCTGTCTGTAACTCTGCATTTTGGGGTGACAAGCGCCTCTACACACGGCACGTTGCATGAGGGTGTGCTGTGAAATTGCATGGAGTGGGTAGTCTGCTACATCTAAAATCATCCCCACAACCCCTTGCTCTGCAGGCCACAACAAGCTTGCATTCTGGTACTAAATAGCAGTCACCAGAAACCGTGTGAAGGGGGGAAACTATGGTCAGCTGCCTTTTCTGAATTAGTGGGAAGTCGGTGAAAATGAGATGTACAAACCAGTAAATCTTAGCCCCCATATTGACAACACAAGGTATGTTATTGGCTCCATTTTCTGAAGCTATTTTGAATTGATAATTACATGATTATCAAAAAGTCTTAACCCTTAAGTAAATGTTGTGAACAACTTACAAACTTAAAATACAAACGAATTAAGACACGAATGTCACTTTTAATGCAATTTGAGGCGAGATGTTGATGGTTCCGTTTGGTCACATGTGGGTTTTAAGAGTCAAAGTTTTGTGTAAAGTTTAGTTTAAGCAGTCATCTGCGCCTGTGAAACCACAAAGCTAATGTTTTCATAGCAGCCTCCGCGGCTGCTGACGTAGGCTGATGACGCGTCCTGTGGCAGTGTATCTCAACGTTACACCGGCAGCTGCCTCTGCAGCAGAGCTGGATTACTATTGCAACAACACATCATCAGTAGGGTAAAACTAACCTGTCTCAGAGGCAGCTGAGGCAGCAGACCGCCACAGAATGGGGCCTGTTTCTGAATGATATCGATTAGAGTGGAATAAAAAGTACGAACTGCTTGTCACAGGTAGCCTTCCCATATTCCCTTACAGTAACCGCTTATGTTGCGGTTCTTTTCTCCAGTTTTGTCCGTACATTTTATGTATGAACCCAGACCAAGAAAAAGTATATGTTGTGGGGGTCATATAGTTATAAAATTCTAAACTCTGCCACAATAACCTGCGGCCACTGCACCTCATCGTCCCGAAGGAAAATGATGCCCCAATGTGCACAAAAGAGACAGTAATTTAAGTACAATAAACAATAAAATTAAATTGCACACGATATAGAAGTGACAAAATTATGACCAGGATATGTAGACAACACTCTTGGACACTCATTTATACCGTTTATCAGCAAAAAAAAGAGGATTGAGGGTGAGTTGTCCTGAGTCACTGAGTCACTATTAGATTATTTGGGCTAAGAGCTGATTGGCTGAACGAAGGTCATCCTGTATTTATCTTGGACTTTTCTGTCTGAAAAAGCTGATCTAGAAATGTGACTGTGGCCAAATGCCTTTTTACCTGGAGTGGTCCAAGTTTGTTTTATCATTTTTTTTTGTGCGGTTTTTATCAATATTTTCCAGAGCATGTCCCATTGATCTCTGTTGACCAATCTGAAAACCACTAGTAGTAGTAGAAAGACATTGTGATTTTTTTTTTCTGCCAAACATAGAACTCATATTCTTCCTCATCCATACCACTCCCTGTGCATGTACTATAAATATACTTTGTTTGGAATGCCAAATACTTTATTTCTTGTACTTTTTTTTTTTTAGAACCCTGCTTCCATTTTGTCAAAGCCTGTTCATACCAGACGACCTCAGTCCAGAATGTGTTGATCATCTGAGACAACTGTCCGACCAAGGTATGAATTCATTCTAATTCGATTTCTTCAATTTCAATTTCTTCTGTTGCTCTGTTTAATTAAATGCTCCCTTTTGGCAGATCTGTTCATGGTCATCAACATTGATAAAGATAAAGTGCTGAGATGGACTAAAAGCCATTTGCCCGAAGACTGGAAGAATGCAGAGGAAACATTTGTAACATGGGAGATGAGCAGTGAGCACCATCCTCCAAGGGATTGGTTACCAGAGCTCTGGAGATTTCTTGACAGCCATTTTGAGGAGCTAAGTTGTTGTACTGGACTGCCCTTAATTCCAGTTGACATCATGTCCAATAGCAAACAAGTAACTCTAGCTAAATTACAACAGCATCCAACTTTGATTTTTGAGAAAAGAAAACAAGTTGTGTTACCAGAGAATATTGCTCAGCTGGTTAGCAAAGTTGGAGGCACAGTGGTGAAGGAAAATAATTGGCTAAAGCACGAAGACCTTGACTCCTATGTCCTGAGTCCATCCCCACAACATGTTCTGCAAGTGCTGATGAATTTACAATCTCAGACAGTCATTAACCAGCTGTTGATCATGCCTAAAATCCTTTTGGAGGAGCTGAAATGGTTCTTATCTCGACTTGATGATCTCTCAAACCGTGAGAAAGAATTGCTCCTACAGTTGCCTTTGTTCAAAAACATGTTAGGAGAGTATACCTCAGCTAAATCCAAATGTGCGGTGCTGTTCATCTCTGGGCTCACCATACCTTTAGATTTGCCCATGCCTAAGACAGTGGTGATGTGTGCAACTGAGGCAGATCGAAAACTTCTCCAGCTGCTCAATGTCCAGCCCTTAGAGACAGCCCAAGCAGCCAGCCTGTTGATCGACAGCGTGGAGAACAAAGCAATTGGCAAAACTGACAATGATAAAATAATGACATGGATCTTGGAGAATGGGAATGTCCTTTTCAGTCAAAATCCAAACTTGAAAAAAAGATGCACAGAATTGTCTTTTATAGAAATTGATGGAAAGTTAAAGAAAACATCCCGTCTTTATGACCCTAGGGTTACATCGTTTAAAGTTCTATTTGAAGACGATTTCTTCCCACCAACTATGTTCACAAAGACACAACAGATGCTCACCAGCTTGATTGATCTAGGATTGGTTCATAAAGCAGAGGAATTGTCTCCTGAGCACTTGCTGCATGCCGCTTCACTGGTTCAAAAGCGTGCTGTATGTGATCACAAAGAGGCTCTCAAAAAAGCCCACATGTTATTGAAGATTATGGATTCCTGTGATTTATTGAATAACTTCAACCTTAATCAGATTGAACAACTCAAAAATCTTAAATGGATATCAGTGACAAAACCCAAGGCCAGCAAACAAAAGGACCATCTGCAAAGTGGCTTCTTTTGTCCGGGAGAGATGAGGCACAGCATGTATGAAGACATAGTTGGATATGTGATGCCTCTGGAGGGAGCGCTCAGTGAAAACCTTTGCAGAAAACTTGGCCTTAAACAACCGCCACCTAAGGAAAAAGTTGTGGAAAATCTCTCGGTGCTCATTTCTAAGACAAAAGAATTGGAGAGTCCTGACACTGATGTGGACTTCAAAAGAAAGTTGCGTAGCACTTATGAACATATGCAGAAGTCCATCAATGATTATGTCACTATAATCAGCAAAGACACTCAATGGCTTTGGAACCGGAGCCAGTTTGTGGCCCCCAAGGACCTGGTTCTCAACTTTCCATCTAATCTAGATCTGAGCGCTCATATTGGAAAAGTTGCAAGTGAATTCCTTCCATACAAAAAACTGTTCTTAGTGTTTGGACTCCGTGATGAAATGACAGTTGATGAAATTATTGGGTTACTTTATACAATTAAGAAAACCGTTGAAGACAGAGATGAGGCAATTGCAACTTCTTCCGAAGTAAAAGTTTCTATTGATATTCTGAATTGGCTTTTTAGAGAGAGAAAACAGGTGGTTCCAGATGATATCCCTGTGCCAGTGATTGTACAGCTTGGAAATTATACACTGAAGCCAAAGTCACTTTGTGTTTTCTGTGACTTGAGTAAAAACGGTCTGAAAGAACTTGAGTGTAACCAGGAAGAAATGTATGTGGTTCATGAGGAGATGCCGATAGCAACAGCAGACTGGCTCAACATTCAACTCCTGAGTACTCTTATTCTGGATCCAATGTCAGTGGGAATTGAACAATGTGGACAAATGGAACCAATAACAACACGAATCAAAAACATTCTGAAAGAATATGATGAAGAAAGTGATCTTTTCAAAGAGATTATTCAAAATGCTGAGGATGCTGGGGCACAAACATGTAAATTCTTATTAGATTTCAGAGTCCATGATGATGACCCTGAAAGTCTCATTGACCCGGACATGAAGCTGTGCCAGGGACCCTGTGTATGGGCGTTCAATAATGAGCAGTTCTCACCAGATGACTGGGATAATATTGTGAAAGTGGGATCTGCCTCCAAAGAGGACATGGTGGAAAAAATTGGTATGTTTGGACTTGGATTTAACACTGTGTATCATGTTACAGACGTTCCATCAATACTCAGTGGTAGTACCCTCCTCATTCTCGACCCAAATATCACCCATCTAAAAAAACGCATCAAGCACAAATCCAACCCTGGAATCAAGGTGAAGCTGTCTCACCAGAGACTTAAGTGGTTTCCAGGTCAGTTTGCCCCTTATGAAGGAGTGTTTAATTGTGATTTTTCTGGGAAAAGTCCTAAACACTATCCTGGAACTTTGATTAAATTACCATTTAGAACTGAAGAGGAATCCCGTTTATCGGAAATAAGCTCCAAAGTATATAACAATAAAGATATTGTGGCTTTTCAAAGACAATTCACACAGGATGCCCAATCACACCTAATCTTTCTCAAAAATATCACCACTGTGTCTCTACAGACAGCCTCAAGTTCTGCTTTGACTCCACTGACAAAGGGTGATATTGAAGATGTATTTACAGTTTCCAAAAGCACACTGTGCCGCATGGACATTCCAGAGGAAGATCCTGTGTTGAAGCTGCAGGATGTTGAGAAGTTGCTTCTGCAAATTAATAAAAAATACAAAGAAGTCATTGACTGTAGCAAAGTGGATATTGTGGAGATAACTTGTCAGCAACCGACAGAAACACAAGTCCAGTGCTGGCTTCTCCGAAGTTCATTTGGAACAAATCAATCATTAAAACTGACTATGGAAAAAAACAAGAAAGTTGCATTTTCGTTGCCAGTTGGCGCTGTGGCTGTGCCTTTGCAATTTAACCATGAAGCAAAAACATTTCAAGTATCGCAGACAGAGCTTGCTGGAAAGGCTTTTTGCTTTCTTCCCCTCTCCATTGACACTGGGCTGCCTTTCAATGTAAATGGAACATTTGCAGTTACAAGCAATAGGAAAGCCCTTTGGGGGACTGGCATAAAACATGAATGGAACAAGTCTCTTTTGCAGGACCCAATACTCTCTGCCTTCATCACTGCGCTACTGGCTCTTAAGAAAATGTCACAAAATAAGAAATTGGAAAACTACTGCTACCACATATTCTGGCCACAAAGGGAGCTTGTGAGTGAACATTTTAGGCCACTGGTTGATGCTTTTTATTGTTCTATTGCTCAAACTGGTGGTGCCCTAAAGCTTCTCAATGATGGTGACAAATGGTTCTCTTTGGAAAATGCCATCATTTTGGATGAAAGCATTCAGGAGGATCAGATTTTCTCACTTGTAATGCAGGTGTGTCGGAAACATGTCAGCCCCGGTCATGTAGTTACACTGCCAAGCTGGATAAGGACTCATTTTAAACACGCTGGAGTTGAAAAGGTCCTAGAAGATCAGACTTGGACTTGGGGGAAGTTTTACAAAGAGGCAGTTTTTCCAAATCTGAACAAAATTGATCCTGAATGGAGAGATTTGCTGATGCTACATGCCATTCACCTTAACATGAAAGATATTGACTGTCTTTTGATTGCACACCCATGTATCCCTTCTACCAGTGGAAAGCTGCAGTATATTAAGAACCTAGTGATCCCAAATGGCAAAGTGACCTGCCTGTTTGAGCCTGAGGAAAGTCGCATACTTGGAGGGAGCGTGACTGACTTCTGCTCCACTGAAAGCATTTTCCGCCTACAGAGGCTGGGAATGAAAAGTGAAAATATTTCTTTTGAGGATATTACTCAGAAAGCAAAAGAAATGAGTAATGTTTGGGCCAAAGACAAAAGCAAGGCATATAAACGCATACAATGCCTTCTGGAACTTCTGAAGCTTCACTTGGATGATGATCTTCCTCCTTTCTGGGAAGCTTTGACGGAAACTCCATTTCTGCCAGCATTTAAACCTGGGGATGTAAAAATGGAAGGAGAGGTAATTCTGCAAAGGCCAGTGTATGTTTTTTCGGAGAAATGTGCTTCTCTTGTGAACATGACACAAACTGTTTTGGAGACTTCTAAACTCGGAATATTTCCATCAGATCCAGTTCTGCAGATGTTGGGGGTACATGACCATCCAGAAGTTGAAATGGTGCTTGAGCAGCTAAAAGAAGCAAATACACATTGTCTATTTTTGGACAAGTTAGTGCTGAACAAAATGGTCAATGAATGCTACAAGTTTCTCGATTGCCATTTGTGTGATTCAAAGGATGACATAAGAAATCTTTTGGAGTGTGCAAATACATTTACGTTTGTACTTGTTGGAGATAAATTTGTCAACATAAGCTGTGTGGCTGAAACGGCACAGTTTGATGCCAAACCCTATCTTTATGCACTTCCGCAACAATTTGCACATTATAGAACGCTCTGGGAAACAGTTGGCATGGAAAAAGAGTTTACTCTTAACCAATGTGTGCAGGCCCTAAAGGACATCAAGTCTAAGCACAGAAATGAACGCTTACCTAAATCCGATCTGTCAATTTGCCTCACCATTTTGAACAAAGGAATCTATGAAACTGCAAAGACGACTGATGGCTGCCTTGTGCCCAATGAAAAAGGCATCTTAAAGCCTGCACAAAGCATGTTCTATAATGATAGTCCATGGATGCCAGTCAAAGAAGGTGTTCAATTTTGTCATGAAAACATATCAAGAGTAATGGCAATGCACTTGGGCATTAAAACAACTCGGCACCACACTTTGATGCGTACTGTTGTTGAGAATATGTCACCATTTGCCTTTCAGTTTGAGCAGAAAGAACAGCTAACGATTCGAATCAGAAACATCATCTCAGCCTATCCTGCAAAGAAGGATATTCTTAAAGAACTGATCCAAAATGCTGATGATGCAGACGCAACAGAAATTCATTTTGTTTGGGACAAAAGGCAACATGGTAGTCAAAAAACTTTTGGACATAAATGGAATAATCTGCAAGGCCCAGCACTATGTGTGTTCAACAATAAAGTATTTTCTGATGCTGATTTAAAAGGAATTCAGGATCTGGGAGAGGGTGGGAAGCACAACTCTCCAGGAAAGACAGGGAAGTATGGACTTGGATTCAACTCTGTTTATCATCTGACGGACTGCCCCTCCATCCTCACAGGGGATGAGTTACTCTGCATATCTGATCCCAACCAAAATTATATTGAGAGTACTTCAGATGTTTCACCTGCTGGTATTGGTTATAACCTCGTTGACACTTTTAAGGAAATGTACAGAGATGTCTACAATTCTTTTCTTCCAGATAAGTTCTCCCTGAAAGAAGGCACCATGTTTAGGTTGCCTTTAAGAACAGACGCCATGGCAAACAGTTCCAACATATCTTGTGAAGCTGTGAGTGAAGATGACATGAAAGAACTTTGTGCTGCTCTGTCTGAAGAACCTGACGGGCTAATACTGTTCCTTAAATCTATACGCAAAATATGTGTTTATGAAATTGACCAATCCAGAGATCTACAATTGATGTATTCAGTAGAAAAAAACATAACTGAATCAAGCATCAAGAAGAAGAAAGCCTTTGATGAAAGTAAAGAATGTGCGCTCAGATCCGATACACCAGTTGATCAGAAAGTAGTCTTTGGGACAGTTATTTCAACTTCACAAAAAAATGAAACCACATGGACAGTTTGTGAGAGATTTGTCAGAACCACAGATGACAAACAAAATATGGCGCCTGGAAAACTGGCTCGAGCAGCAGTAGCAGCACGAGTGAGCCCAAAGAATGAACCAAAAACCAATTTTAAAGGAGAAGCATTTTGTTCACTTCCTTTGCCTGGCCACACTGGACTACCTGTTCATGTCAATGCCAATTTTGAGGTGGATTCTTCTCGAAGAGATTTATGGAAAGAAGATGGCGAGAGTCCAAAAATTAAATGGAATGAATATTTAAAACAGAGCGTCATTGCTCCTCTTTATGCTGACCTGCTTAATCAACGGCGTAGTAAACTGAGAGACATTGAAGACTTAAAGACAAAAGTTTTAAAATCCCTCAATGAATATTACTTGAGCTTTTTCCCAATTATATCAAAAGACATCCACCCTGACTGGCATGACATGGTGAAAGAAGTATACAGGTCGATCCAAGAACGATCGCTGGATATGATTCCTGTATACAAAGGTTCAACACGAGCAACAACGGCTAATGGACCGATAAGTGAATTGAAAGTTTATTCCTTTGACTGGAGTAATATTACAGAGACAGAACCAACTAAAATACCTTACCGTAACCAAGTGAGTGAAGTCATGAGCACCATTTTGGAAGATGTGGAAATGAGGCTGGTGCCTTCAAGTATGGAAAATGTGTGGAGGAGTTTTAAATCAGCTGGAATTGAACTACACTATGTGACTCCTTCAACTGTGCAGACGTTTTTGAGAGCAAAGCCCCTGAATGATCCATCACAGACAGAAAAACAATTACCGTTGCCTGTATCACAAACTAAAATTAAAAACGATAAAAAATGTGCCGAGCTCCTGAATTTCTGCCTTAAAGATCTAGTAGAACTCAACAACACAAAAGACAAGGAAGTAGACCCTAGTGTCATCGATGGACTTCCACTGCTGCTCACAAAAGACAAGGTTCTGAGATCATTTAACCGGGACTCTCCCATGTTTGCTTCTTTTTATGATAAATTGTTTATTAGCTATGAAGACAAGCTTGTAGATTTCCAGACCAACAAAAAATGCATTTCCACTCTTGAAGAGTTTGGCTTTGTCAAAAAGTTAACAATTCTTAATTCATCAAATTACCTGAAGACCATAATCAAAGATCATCTTCAACGTTGTGATGTTGATCAAAGCAAAACCAAATATGTGCCAAGTGAAGAAATACTCCGGTGGTTGAAAACTCTCTGGAAATTTATATCCAGTGAACTCAGGACTGATTTGACATTAGCCACTGTGTGCCAGCTCTACAATGAGTGCTGCATTTTGCCTGTTATTTGTCCTCAAAACAAACAGAAATACTTGGAAATGATGAAGCATATGCCAAGTGTGATTATGTTTTCTTCTGATCAAAACTTATCAAAAACCCTGTTTCAACTCGGCTTCATGAAGCTGGACATTCTTTTCTTCAGTGAGATGGATCCAGATCTGAAATCTCAACTCAGTTCAGAGCTGTTGGATGTCAACAATCATAATTCTGTTTTGGACCAACTCTACGACAAAAAGTGTCTGGACTTTTCACATCTGTCATCCGTTGAAATGGCTGAACTCCAGACCTTTTTGTGTTCTGGTGTTTCCAAAGCCAAAAACAAGGATGATTATCAAAGAAAGTTCCAATCCCTGCCTTTGTTTGAAACCATAAACTCTGAGCGTGTAAGAATTGATCAAAAAGGTTTGAAAAATGTGTATGTCCTCGAAATGAAGGAAATGAAAAGATTTCCAAACTTGTTCAGGCTGCCTGAGACCTCTGCCATTTTCCTCAAAAATAGCCCTGAAAACATCCAGCTCTCACATGCACTGGATATCAAGATACTGTCTGATAGGGATTTTTTTGTTCAGATCCTTGTGCCAGTGGTCCATAGACTCACAGAAAGTCAGATTTTGGACTGTCTTAAACTTTGCCTTTCATTTCATTCTAATTTAGAGGATGGCATAATCTTTGCATTTAGAAATGTAAAACTGATTCGGAGTTCTCTTGGCGATTTACAATTGGCATCTTATTTTTATGACGAGACTGTTAAAATATTCAGAGTGATGCTACCAGAAGAAAGATTTGTGCCAAAGACATTTTTGAGTAAAGTGACTGAAGGAAATGAGAAAAGAGTCAATGACTTAAAACGTCTCCTCAAAAAACTTGGAATGAAGCATACTGTCTCTGCAGATGACATCATCATCTTTGCTCAGCAGGTAGAGAAAGAAGTAAAAAACCATACAAAAATTGAGGATCTGAAAACAAAATCTGAAATTATTTTCAAAAACGCATTGTGTTTAGCGAAAGACACTGGAAGCCAAGGGGAACAATTACTACAAAACATAGCTCATGTGAGGTTTGTTTTTCCAGTGAAAATTAAAACTGACTTGTGTAATTACCACCCCCCTTTCACCTCTGAGAACACTGCTGTTCCAATCAGCGGTGCTTTGATTGAAGGGGAAGAACGAACCCAAGACCTTATCTGGTCTTCAATGACAATCATTCATGTGCCAGTGTATCAGTGTGAGAAAGTTCAACAAGCTCTGCTTAGTGCTGGAGCATTTGAAAAACCTCCAACAGAATACGTCATTACAAATCTGAAAAACATATGTCCGTCACCTTGTAAAAATGAGGAGACAGTCCAGACTCGAGCCAGAGTGTTTCGGACTTCCTATGCTTTCTTGGAGAATCCTCCCATTAAGAGTCAGTCGCTGGCTGGACATCCCATTGTGCTGGTTGAAAAGTGCAAAAAACTTGTTACAACTGATGATGTGTGTTTTTCTCTTCATTGTGACAATGATTTCAGACCTTATCTGTACCAAATCCCGGCAGATCTGAGAATTTACACTGTTTTCTTCCAAAACGTAGGTGTAAGGGATGAACCCTCTGCAGTTCAAATAGGTAATGTTTTGGCAGCTGTTTATGGAGAAACGTGTAAAAAACCAAGTCTACAAGCAAACCAATTAAAAACAGTGAAACGTGCTGTCCAACAGCTGTTTGAGATTGTGAAAAAGCAGAAGCAGTCCCTGGATGATCTAAAGGTATTATATCTTCCAGGTGTACGTGGGAAATTAATGGAATCACACAAACTTTACTACAATGATACACCTTTTGAAGCTTCACGATTGGAGCGAGCACTGCCAGAGAGAATTGTATTACTTCAGAAACTCGGGGAATGTCATTTGAAAGCAGACATGTATGAACATCAGAAGCTGCTAAAACAACTGCCACAGAGGCTTCAACCCCAAATGCTGTCACAAATCACAGAAGAGAAATTAGTGGAGACACAAATGGAGTTCTGTGACACGAACTGTCCTTTCAGTGGGTTCTTTGAAGATCATTTGTCCTCTACAGTATTTAAACATGCCCTGATCTGTCTGATCCGTAGTGAATTAGATGGAAAAGTCACTCAGGACAAGGCTATGGAAATGTGCAATACTACATTTGGAAGAATACAGATGGTCTGCTGTCAAAGTTTACAAACAGAGCTGTGGCTGGAGACCCAACAGCTCCCGAATACTGCTGCAGAAACAGAGGTTTATGTCAAAAAAGATCAACAAGGCTGCACATTTTACTTGCAGCACGACGATATGGAGAACATGGTCATAAATGATGTCTGTCAAACATTGGTAACGGAAATCAACAGTTTGCTTGGTAACATACTGGGACCGGAAACCCTAATGGCCTGTTCATCCCTCTTACGCTGTGACAATTTAGAACAAGTGAGAAAGAGGTTAGCAAAATATAGAATCTGTGACAGTGTGGATGATGAAAGTATACACAAACTTCCAGCACCAGGCACGGAGATCCCTTCAGAATGGTACGATGCTTTGGACATGAGCTTTCTCAATAACTTTGAGGTGGGGGAGTATGTTGGCTACTATTCTAATGGAAAATACATCTATGCAGTTATTGTTGAAGAACTAGGTGGGGACGCTGTGCACCTCAGACAGAGATACAAAATAGATATTGGTGAGGAAGAACCAACTGAGGTTAGTTTTCTCGACTTGTATCAGTTCAAATGTGAGAGTCCACCAACACAATTGTCCAGTCAGGAACTCCAGGTTGTGGAAGGTGCAGTCCCCCATTCTTCCCAACAAAACACACGATCCTCACCAGCATCTGTCAAAGAAGCCAAAAAAGAAATCGACAAGAGTTTGGATGAAATTTGGACCCTTCTTCCTGAGGAACGACAGAAAGCAATCAAGCGGCTATATCTAAGGTGGCATCCAGACAAAAACCCTGACTGTCCAACGCTCGCAACAGAGGCCTTCAAGTATCTACAGCAAAGAATTGAAGAACTAAGCCGCAAACGCACATCTACAGGCCAAAGGAGCTCCTCATCTTCCTCTGCATATTCAGGGGCATATACAAACTTCCGAAATTTTTTCCACGAATGGGATGAAGAGGCAAGATACCACAGAACCAGTCGAGAGCGTTTTCACACCGGCCGGCGATCGTACAATTTCTGGGCTTACAACGAGGACATTCCACAGCCGAACAAGGAGGAGGCCAAGCGCTGGCTCAGACAAGCGCAGTGCGACCTCCACGCTGCTAAAAATGACATTGGAAATGAGGCAACTGAGTGGTGTCTGTTCAAGGTTCATCAGGCCGTGGAAAAGGCCCTCACTGCTGCTTCATATCGAAACAATGGGAAGAGGCCCAAGTGTTGCTCAATTTTGGCCACAGCATCTAAAGTCTCCTGCTACAGTCCCTGTCTCAGAAATCTGCCGCAACTCGTGAGGGAGCTGGTCGATTTGGGTGTGGACCCCAAAAAAACTCAATATCCAGACTGCCACCCATTTCCACAGATCCCCAATGGACAGTTCAGGTCAGAATACGAAATTCGCGCACAGGACCAAGCAACTCAAATACTGGCTCAAGTGGATGCATATGTGAATTATTGAATCAAGAAAAAAACTAGTCATTAGTTTGAGTTCTGAGTGATTATGAATTGGCTTCTTACTGTATCTCAATCTACTGTATGCTTAGCTATTTCAGAGCCTCTCTGATTAGAGAATTAGAATGGATTTCTCAGGTGCAGTTTGTCCGCCACTTTGGCAATCATGTACAGGTTTTGAATTTAAGAAAACAAGGTTATGGTTAATTTTGGGACCAGATGCGATCAAAGCTGAATGTGTAAAGTATACTGTTTGTTTTGTGTTAAAATGTGAATCAGAAATGACTATGAAGCCAGTAAACTTCCAATGATTCTGAAAAATATATATAAATAAACAATTAGACATATTACATGGTCTTCGTGCTTTGTTGATTTTCTTAGTGCTTCCCTCGGGTCAGAATGAACCGCCACAGATTATTAAAAGTAGAGGAAAAATACCCTTTATTAGGCTTTAAAAGGATCTAAATGACTCGGGTCAAGTTAAGAAAACAGACTTTTGGTTCTTTGTCCCAAGGGATAAGATAGGACATCATTTAATTTTAATATTTGGAGTTCAACAAGATATATATTTTAGTGACTCATAGAAAACCAATGGATATCAAAAGAAGAAGTTGAGAATGACAACAGACACATCTTCACTAAATCTGACCTTTGAGAAAGCTGTAGGTTCTATGTCATCTGAAGACGAGCTGTTTGTGTTAACATTGAGGTCAATGGGGAAAATTACTGTAGCTTCGGTGAATTTAGTCATGTGGGAACCGGCTTATGCAGCAACACTCCAGGTAGTAGATAAGATTGATGGTTCCTACACATGGTGCATCCATGCACCATGTGATGCATAAAAGGCAAATAATAAAGTGATGTTATGAAGGTGGAGGCTGAAGACACTCGCTGGGGGCAGGTATTCGACTTGGACTCGTCCTGTAGCCACATGGTCCTGCTCGTACATAGTTGTCTGGACTTTGAAGGAGCAAGAACAGAGCTGGAAATGCAGGCTGATTCTACGTTTATGGAACATACAGGCAAGAACAAAGTAAATGCATCTCTTGTAAAGTACTTGTTTTAATCACATAAAGTACAGGGGATGTGCGTAATAAGTAACATGTACTTGTTATGCAAGAACGTACACTCCTAAATGCACACAAAAAACCTTAGAGATTATACATTGGTTTTATTCTTTTTTGTACACTCAAAGACGCTTCCCATGTCATTAGTCTTTCACTCCATATAAAGTGTTGAACTACTACTATAGCCACCGCTGATTTGTCCAGAACTCCTTTTCAAAATAGGTTCCTAATCATCATGGGACTTTCCTGATTAAATAAAAAAAACTGTCATGGGACATACTAATAGAAGCGAGGCAACCAGTATGTGCCATTGGTTCCTCCAACCACCACCAACCATTCACACACATACCAGACACATTCTAATGTGGGTGAAGTGTCTTGCCTAAGGACACAACTACAGTGGCACCTGATGTTCCCAGAGGTCTCCCATTATAGTACTAACCAGGCCATATCCTGCTGAGCTTCAAAGGTCTGACAGGATCTGGCGTTCACCTGCAGGAGGCGCCACACAGTTCTCATGTTTTCTTCGGTGCTGAAGATCTGGGTCTCGTCGGTCTGAGCTAAGAGTCTGCTCCAAACCTGAGTAATAATCCACAGGGAACAGCTGTGTCTACATCCGTATTTTCAGAGCCACCTTAAATGCATCACTCACTCACTGCATGTCACACGCGTGACACACGCACACACAGTAATCACAGTTTAAGCGTCTACCTTTCGGCCAATTACTGTCAAAGGGGCGTAGGCTTGATCACATACATTGGTGTACTGTTGACAATCGCCAGCGTGGGCCGTGCCCGCAGCATCATCACGGTGAAGTTTGGTAAAGTAGCGTCATATTCCCAGATTCGGACTTCCGCGGTCAATAGCTCACGAAATCTACTTTGTTGAACACATTTAATTGCGCTAAAATGATCATCTCGACGTTGATTTTTCAAATCCAATGCGCTGTTTTAATGCAGAGAAATCCATTGAATCCAGTGCACTGCAAGCGCCGAGAAAAGCATTTAGGGAACGTCAACAAATGTCCAGACCAGCTTTGTAAACGAACAATAGCTTTTTCTGAAGCCATGTACATGCACTAAACTCTCAGACACTATACATAACGACCAAATCTAACTGCTACAGACTTTGATTTCACCATTTGTGAGTTTTATTTTTATTTTTTATGAATACATGTTTTTCTTTTTTTATTTGCTTTTACAGTACATTTCTTTACTGTAACATTCATAAATAATGTATGTTACAGCATTTGTCTTTTTAATATTTTTTTATTACCAATAAGAATGCATTAAGTCCTTAACCAGCCAAAGAGTTCCACCTATTTATTAAATTTCATTTTTGACTAAGGATATGTTTTTTTTATATGTAGTCAATAGTCAATTACATTCTGAAAACTGTGATTATGAAATTCCTATGATTACTGTGTAGATTGAAATTAGGACTAAAAAGTGCTCAACCCGGTCCACCCAAATAGCAACCTTAGCCAGTGCTAACATGTACAGATGCTAACATATACTGAGGCTGTTGCTGATTATTACAATTGTTATCTTTTTAGAATGATCAATTTTATTTTTTATTTTTGCTGCTACTGGACACCTGAATTTCTCTTACGGGGATCAATAAAGTATGTATCTATCTATATAACTACATATCGCTTGCACTAGAATACACAGTACTTTATAGTAGTAAGTAATCTTTATTTATATACCGCCTTTTCACTGCACATCGGAGTCTCAAAGCGGTTTACAATTGTTATTTTTGGGAGTGGGGGTGCCAGTACAGGAGGCACATGCCAGAACTATTGTACATATTTTTAGTGGTAGGGGAAACCAGAGCACCCGGAGGAAACCTACGCAGACACGGGGAGAACATGCAAACTCCACTCAACCGGGATTCGAACCCAGGACCTTCTTGCTGAGAGGCGAGAGTGCTATCCACTCAGCCACCGTGCCGCCTATACACCGCCTTTATACTTACCTCTTATTTTGCCAAATGTAAAACATTAATCTTATGTTCAAGATAGCGATGTTTTACTTGTTATTTGATGCTAGAGTTGGTGATTGTGTTTAATTTAATTAGTATAGTTATTGGTCACTTATCTTGTGCTTTGTGCTCCTCATTCCTACTTTACAGTATTTATAGTTTATTTGGTTGGGACAGTACATGTATGAACACATCACTCCGGATTGTAGCCATGGGCTAATTTGCGTCCGTTGTCCCACATTCACACTCACTCATTCACCCTGAACTATTGCACATGTTTTTAGTGGTAGGGGAAACCGGAGTACCCGGAGGAAACATACAGTATGCAGACACGGGGAGAACATGCAAACTCCACTTCACCTGCATCCGTCTGTGGAGGGACTTACGATTAAGAGATCCTTTATTCGTCCCACAGTGGGGAAATTTCAGTGTTGCATCACAAGTTATAGGACAGTAGGAAAGAGGGGCACAAGTGAACAATAGCTGTACTATATATATATTATCCATCCATCCATCCATTTTCTTCCCCCTAAACCATTTCTGGGTCGGGGGGGGGGGGGGGGGGGCGTAAGATACCGAAGACCAAGAGAGATGCTGAAGGTGTATATGAATGAGCGCAACAGAACATTTTCTTTAAAGGAGGTATTGAGTGGGTGTAATTCGGTAGGGGGGGTTGGAGTAGTTTTGCGTTTCCTTCGAAGCGCTGGGTTATTCTTTAGAACATAGGAGACTGAAGGACTGAAGGGGCCGTCCCGGCCCACACTCCATTTCGGAAGGTGGCGGCAATGCACCTCAAGGTTGTTTGCCAACTGTCCCCGGCCCCCTGTGCCCCAAACCAGTCATGCCAAGAACTCTGTCCCCGGCCCCCTGTGCCCCAAACCAGTCATGCCAAGAACTCTGTCCCCGGCCCCCTGTGCCCCAAACCAGTCATGCCAAGAACTCTGTCCCCGGCCCCCTGTGCCCCAAACCAGTCATGCCAAGAACTCTGTCCCCGGCCCCCTGTGCCCCAAACCAGTCATGCCAAGAACTCTGTCCCGGCCCCCTGTGCCCAAACGAGTCGTGAAAGCCAAGAACTCTGTCCCCCCTCCGTCCATCACCCGCCCTGATACAGGTGGGACCACAGGCTTCTATCCCTGTGTAGAGAGAGGACCACAGGCTTCTATCCCTGTGTAGAGAGAGGACCACAGGCTTCTATCCCTGTGTAGAGAGAGGACCACAGGCTTCTATCCCTGTGTAGAGAGAGGACCACAGGCTTCTATCCCTGTGTAGAGAGAGGACCACAGGCTTCTATCCCTGTGTAGAGAGAGGACCACAGGCTTCTACCCCTGTGAAGAGATAGGGCAGTTCACAAGAAACTTTCCCACTGACAAGGGAAGCCCCGCCCACAGCAGCAGTCAAAGAGTGGACAGAGACAAAGCAACAACTGGTTCTGACAAAATGGCCCCAGGCCCACCATGTTTCCGGACAGTTCCACAGGAACCAGCATGAACGATATGGGACTGACTGATGGAGGACGAGGGTCTGGGAGGGTCCCACGGACGATCTGGACGAGGCAGACCATGGTCCAGAAGTCAGGACAACACAAACACAAGCACTCATTTGGGGATGGATGTGATAATTGACGTATGCACACATTTAGACTATTCTAAAGTTTAGAGTAGTTTGACAAACCCTATTGTCAGAGAAAAAAAAAAAAAAAATAGAGAAAAATAGAGTGGGGGATAGGTTACTTTAATCAATTCCGTGGGCCACATACTCCTTGATTAAGGACTTTATTTATTACATAATTTCCCCGAATGGGTGAAGGACACATTCTTTTCTTTAGAGGCGAAACATGACAAAGGAATGTTTCATAAATCCATTAAAATGTTCTGAATAATCTAGAGTTTCTGTGTTTCCAAATTGCCCAGTTGTTTTCCACAGCCGAGACTAAATCTATGGTCTGTGTGTAAAAATA